TGGACACTGAAGCAGAAATAATCAACTGTATGAATGCAGGATGGGGAGTAGCTCACCAAGTAGCAAATGTATAGAAAAAGAATTTGGCATTGTACTGGATCACAAAGTTAATGAGTCAAAAAATGTCATGTCACTGTAGAAGGTAACTATTCAATTTCAGTTTAGTGGTTTGACTGTACCTACATAAGATAAGAAGCCGAACTACAGGGACTCTTTCAGAGCCATCATGATTTTCCCCAAAGCATACAACTGAAGTACTTTTTTCAGTTGTTTTACTAATCTCCTTCCGAGTAAATAGCACAGTCTTTATGTAAATAAATATGTAAGTATGGGGAAAAGTGGACAAAATGGATCTGGGCAAGTTTCAGTTCAGCTGTGCTGCTGTTTTCATGTTCCACAGCTGAGACAAGAGTTTGCTGTATCCTAGACAATATGCAGTTTTTTAACTAAAGCCTTGTTTTACTACTCAGGCTTCCTGGATGTCACTAGCAACTCTTAAGATGAACAGAAATACTACAGATTGCTAATGTTGAATATAAGTTATTATATGTTATTTTCTCTAGAAAGCATTAAAAAGATTTGAGCTGACTTCTGATTTTTTAATTAAATTTTTTATTTGAGATATAGGTGAATAATATGGGATTATTGGGAAGAAATTTCAGGCTTTTACAAATCTGTTGTCTCTTGGGTTTGTTGTTTGGTTGGTTTGGTTTTTTAATCACAGTTCAGATTGCTATAGTGTTTGGTGCCAAAGTTCTGGAATATGTCCTCAATCTGTGCTGAGGTAACTATGACTTCCTGGAATGGCTTCCTGTCCTGTTGCTTTTGTATATCATTTCCTTTCTGGAGCTTGAAGATATAGCCAGACTTTCTCAAGTTTCACACAGATTTGAAATGGTAAATAAATAAATAAATATATATTTTAAAAATTATTAGTTTTACTGTAGCATGTTGGTTTTTATTCATCTCACATTCGATATAATCATCAATCTGTCTGCTTTACTTAAAGTTTGAGACAATAAATTAATCATCTGAACAACTGAATGGGTGCAATAAAAACTAGATCTTAGAAAGGCTGTTGGAGAGACTGTGCTTATCCTGCAAACTTTTGTTGCATACAATAAACAAAATGATCCAGATAATTCCATTGTAACCCATGGTTGAGTGTTATGCACTACTTCCAGGATTAAGTATTTGAAATGTAAAACCTATGCTTTGCTTTATGATTTGTGTTATTATAATGTCTAGAAACTTCAACCATGGACCAGGATCCCCTTATGCTAGACTTATTAACAAACAAAACATCATTGCCATTCCTAGAGAGCTTACATTTTAAGTCTTTGACAAAAGACAGGAGCACAAGGAAAGATTATTTTTTTTTTCCAAGAGTTTTGAAGACCTTGCAGCAAGGAACTGTAAGAAACACAGGAGGAGAAAGAGATGACATTATGCTTGCTTGCTCGGAGGCTCTTTCCAACTATCAGGAAAGTATGGGAAATGGTATGAATATGTTGAATTGAAACTTTAAAGAGTGAATAACAGAAGTTGCTACTTTTGGCTAATTGGAGATAAGGGTAGCCTCTCGGTGTGGAATGAGGGGTAACAAACAGGGAAGGATAGCCTGTAATTCCCAGGTGAATGAGGAACAATCTTTTGGTGCAAAAAGAGAGAAGTCATATGATAACTTAGGCTGTGTTGGAAAGGCCTTTGAGACGTTACCTATTCCAACTTCCTCGTCGGTGCCGGCTCAGGTAATTGAAGGGATGAAAGGATAACATGTTCAGAGCTGTAATCTAGGAAGCTGATTTCTATGGGTCTGAATACCTCATTTTCTATTCCAATCAGAGCCTGAGAAAAGGCTGCTGCAATAACTCGGGTAGGAGGAGAAAAGGGGTTTAGTTTATGAAAAATAGGAAGAATGTTAAAGAGAAAAATAACTTGATTCTTATCCCCAAGGGTGCCATAGGAGCCTAGAATGAAGCCTATCAAGTTATGGGTTTTACAGTTACTGACAACGTAAGTAACAATGAGACCTTAGGAGGAAGATAAAAACAGGTTTAGTCATCTTGAGTCTGATGTGACAACTAGATACTCTCTGAAAGACTGCTAAGAGACAGATTAACCTTTTAGTTTGGAGAACAGGACGTGTCTGGTAGAGAGTACATCTACAAATTGTATCAGGATGAGATTGCTCACAGCATTTGATTCTTTTGAGGCTATGTGGCCCGAGGTTTCAATAAAAGTTCTTTGGAAGACTGCTGACAGTTCAAGAGGACATGGCTGTACTGCTGTTCCTATGCTGTGGCTCCAAAGACATTATAGATACTTTAGCGAGAGTGAGTTCAAGTGAGCCCAAGAAATAGGAGATGATGTAAAGAGCACGCAAGAGAAAATGGTGAGATAGCAAAATAGAGCATGTTGTTAATTTAGAGATGAAGGGCAGATGGAGGAAAATAAGCTTGTTGAGTTCTGGGCTTTATTTCAGTTTGAAGATAAAACATTTGATATCGTGACTGGGAAACAACCAGTAGAGGATGAGAGAATGAAAACAACTAAAGGTGAGAAAGAGAACAGATAGAAGGGAGGGCAGGAAATGGTTTATTAGTGTATTTGGAATCCATCTGTGATTTGCAGAGTGAGTGGAGTAGGATGAGGTACTGTGGAGGGCAGTAAACTTTCATTAGTTTAACACAAAGCCTTGGATATTCTGGAATTTAAGGAAATCCTGGAACTAATAAATTTCATAATAATAAATATAAGATTTGGGCACAATGAAATAACCTATTACAACTAGTAATGCCATGCTCTCTTTCTCTCATTTCAGCAGTATTTTTAAAGAGTTAAAAATGTGCCCCAATACTGTGAATTTTCATTTCCAGACTAATTTATGTGTAGGCTGGAGTGCTGCTCTCTGTGGAGTTATAAAATGGCATATTCAGATTTTCCAATAGGGAAAAATAGAACAGTTTCTGCACTCAGGACTGAAAAGTGGAGTATGAAAGGCTCCATACATCCATCCTGTGCAATGCATCGTCGTAGGCTGAACTAAGCAGGTACCTTCCTTCATTACCCAAAGCACGACATTTCCCTGACTCTCTGCTCTCCAGAGTATTCGGGTGCTTTCAATATGTGTTTAAAAGTATTTCAGATTTTCACTAGGTACTGTTTTTAAGTATTGTGAAAGAAGTTCCATCTCAAAAGAAACAACGTACGGAACGTGGATACCAACGTCAGAGCACTGTATGAGATTTCCGAATACTTTTTCAGCGAACTTCGATACTGTGATGCCTCCCAGCACAAACCCGGGATAGGATTCGCTTCGCTTATTTTGTGCAAGGTCTTTAGATAGCCAAAACTCGCAAAATCAAACTACTCAAAGAAAACCACCGCGTTCCGTGGGCTCCAGAGGCTGGTCCCGCCACAGGGAGCCGGGCTGCCCACGGAGCGAGCGGGGAGCCCGGGGCGCTGCCGGGCAGCGGCCGCCCCGCTGCGCGTCCCGCCTCATGGGAGGGAAGATCTAATTGTTACGGCGCGGTTCAGAAGCCGTGGGCACGGCAAGAAAACCACAATAATTACAGTTATTATCTTTTTTCTTTCTATATTTTTTTTGATAATAGAACACTGTGTTTGGAAATACATATATATGATACTAAAAACCAGTCTCCACTATTTTTAACTTAATGGTATCTATTTTTCATAGGAACAGCCCAACAGTTAGGGACAAAAAGCAAGCAGAAAACTTTAAAAATGCGTATATTTTAATTTCAGGGCTTCTACAACAATATCCCCCCAATAATTCTTGCTTTTCCTTTGCTAAAATATGCTAGCATGTGTATGCCTGCAGTAGGATCACTGTCACATTTTGAGAACAGAAATTGAACCACACATATGAATTAAATAGTTCACGGTATCCAGCCACAGCAGCAGTATGTAACAGAAGTTATTCCAGCACTTTTGCTTTTCTATTTCTGTTACTATTTGTGACAGACATACCAGCCACTTGCATTGGAATAATTTAGTACAGCTCCACATACATCCCTGCAATTACACATTTAGAAAACTGGAGCGTTTGGGACAAGAAACAATGTTACTTACAATAAGCAGATAATTGACAATGACACAGAGTATCTTTCTAATTCTTTTTTCTGTGATGGTTCCATAGGCTAACAAGTGACATAATTTTTTCTTCCTGTTCATAATATAATATTTCCATATGACTCTGTTTATAGAGTCATTCTGAAAGAGGGAAGCATCTCCTGAGAAAGAGGCTTAATCCCTACAATACTTCTGAAAGCTTCCTAAAACCGCATTTCTGTTTTAAGTCCAAAGGCAGTTTGCTGCTTCTACTTACCTTGAAAACAGATTAGTATCTGTGATGCGATTTCTACATCCTGACAAGTTCTTTAGCGTACTCTTACACAGCTTCACTGACTTCAGTGTGGCTGTATGAAGTACATATCAGGAAAGTATGTGACATTACAGCTGCTTTTAGTGTGGCAGAAAGGCCTTTGATAGCATACAAAACTAAACTTCTCAATTTTTTCTGCAGAATAACATGCAGTATCTTGCATTGATGACACTGGACAAAACTTTCTCTGATGTTGTCATGCGTTTTAACTAATACTGAGTCTTTCAAGATAGATGGGGAGCTTGCAGTGCAAGTGACCTTCATATAAGGCATCTGTGTTGTCTAAACACATTTTGTGTAGTAAAATAATCAGCAATGAATAAGCCAAATGATGAATTTAAGCTTCTGTTTTCTCTTATGACTAGATATGTAACTGTATAGCGCTATGGGAAAATATTGTGCAGAACTTGTGTGACACAATTACACCTGAAATGAAAGAACTTGCGCAGGGAATGGGCTGGAAACAACTTTTCACAAATAGACTTCAGCCACAGCTGCAGCAAGGAGGAGCCAGAAACAAGATGCTCAGAACAAAAAACCGAACTGAATAAAGATGCATTTTTCATTGAAGTGATTGTTATAAGGTGTGGATTTGCTGTTTATCATGTCAGACATACTGACTTTTCTGCTTTACTGGGGAAAGCAGATCATTTTAAGGACTGAAAGAGGGAAAACAAAACGTCTTACTCAGAGCAACATGTAAATAATACAATGTTTAATATACTGGGCATACTGAAATTGTATTATAGTCAGCATTGTAACAGTTACTAGCAATAGAAGAAGTTGTGGCTTCTTTATACTTCATTCTGATGTCTCTGTTTCATATGTATGCTATACATGCTCCATTGTCATATATCAGATGCTATGGCATTGTCATCATTACCTTTATAGAAAGGTCTATCATTTCTTACTACAAAAATTGCTGATGAATGCTGAAGTTTTTACTGTCCACCATGGTAAATTTGCAGTGTTCATAGGCAAGTCACATGTAGCTGGTTCCAGAGTTTGATGTGTGCTAAAATAGTTTTAAATTATTAGCTAAACTTCAAGAAAATCATAATTTTGTCACCAACAAGAAACTTATTTGGTGACTGAGGGTGTGGATCAAATGATCATCCTCATCTTGGACAATCAATCCATCAGAATCATGTTTGAGGCACTCTGCCAGAATGGTATATGGGCAAAATTTTTCCTTGATATTGCTAATGCAGAATCTTCTTAAAGTAATTGATTTCTATTGTTGGAATTGCATATTTTGTAAGAGACATTTGCTGTCTTACAAGACTGTAACAATGGTTACTTCAGTGTTGTAAAATGAAGGCAGTTCTTACTGACATTACTGACTTACTCCAACAATCAACTTCAGTAATTAAGAGGGCAAATAGTATTACTATGAAAGCACCAGTTGATTAATATTTCATTTGTCATGAGTAGACATAAGACCTGAGTATTAAAACTAGTGATTGCAGTATTTGGATATAATAATGTAATATTTGAAGAGTGTATTAGGTTTACAATTTTTTAACATGTCAAGTGTTAAACTTGAATTTTATAAATTGATTAAAAACTATGAATACAAGGTTCTTAATATCATTCTATTTCTTTATAAAGCAAGATTTCAATTCTTAAAAAGATATTTGCTAATTTAGATTAAGAATATTTTGTTCTACAACTATATACCAATATTCTTGAAGCATTTGGTGATTGTAGATCTTTAGATAGAAGAAACACTTTCGATATTCTTTCCTCTTTGTGACTATTTCTTTTTAGGACAATGTCAAATACAAATTTCACAATGTGCATAAAATACTGTATTCATAAAATTTCTGTTCTGTATAATAAAATACTATAAAATGCAATTTTGCTTTAGAGAGATTATTTTAAGAACTACAGTATGTGAGCAGGGCTACTAAACAACAGACTTTCTTTTCTCACTTTCTGTCAATTTACCCCCAATGAATTTTTTTCTTAGCTTGTGCTCTCCTAACAGATTTAGGCAGTTTCAGGATAGGAAATTAGAACACATGCTAGATAATATGGACTGAGTGAATACTAATTTTAAATCTTAATTTAACTCGATTTTGTCAGCCCACCTTCCCTTCTCCTTGATCAACCATGTACCTGTCCCTTCTGTTACGAGAAATAAGAACAATCATTTTTCAGGAGAATCTTCATTTTTAAGCTTAACGTAATTAGTAAATGAACAGAAAGTGAATTAGGTAATATAAGTTTATTCCCATTGAATGGCCCAGTCAGGACTTCTATAGAAAGATATATTGCAGATATCATAAGTGAACAACATATTATTCATTACAGTAATATGCAAATAAAGTTGATTTTGACAAAAGACGAAGTGAAGATCCAAGTATAAAGGGTACATATCTTTCCAAAAGAAAAGAAATTGAGGGAAATTATCCCTTCAATATACATACATATTTCACCAATAAAAGATAGCTCAGTTAAAATAATCTAGCAGCAGCATTCACACCAAGAAGACATTAAACTTGTAACGAAAGAACTGATGTGAAAGTGCAGTTTTCGTGAACATTTTCTCCAACAGAAAAGCTGATTTTAAGAAACTGCTGACTGCGTGTTCACACCATGTGTTGCAGTTCACTGCGACCTCAGTTGTTTTAATATGAATTTTAAAGGCCATACATAACTATCCTATATGAATGAACTGATCTAAATCTTAGTTGGGGGTTTTCTTAAGGTTTTCTTTTTAACATGGCTCATTTCAGTGATCTATTGTAAAGTATGTCCCTGGCAACAGTTGTAGAAGTGTGAAACTGGGAAGCTGGTGAATTGCAATATAGAACAACACAAGTTGAGGTTCAGAACTTTTTTTAAGCAGCCTTGCAGCTGTAAAAAGGTCTGTATGATGATATTGTTGCATATTGAAATGTTTCCCAATATCCGTTCAATATAATTGAACAATATCAATAGTTTTTAAAGAATTCTAGCAGCATGTATCAGTATTAAACTAAGAACCTGATTTGTCATGAAAAAACTTTCATAAAGCTAGCAGGAAAAAAAAAACTATAGTGACTTTTATTTGATATAAGAAAATTAACATCAGACTCACCTCTCAAAGCCGAAAAAAGTATGTCTTGTACCATCATACAAAACATTCTACATTCATTACCAGACGCTTAATGTTGTTTAAGAAAAATTATTTGAATATTTTAAATGGTCTTTAGCTCTTACGTGCTTTGCATTACCTAATTTTCTAGTGAATAAACATCTCAAACGCGACCAGTCTTAAGACAGTTCATGGTGTACATTATGAGCAGCAAGACTGATCATAATGTAATAGTTTTTCTTATTAAATTAATTGTAATGAAACTTAGTGTGCTGTAGTCCACTTCTGTCTAAAACTATATTTGGCTAATTTTGCTCAACTCTGTTTCTTTAGTACCATTTACTGGACAAACAAGTCCCATGGAAGCAGTCAATGGCAACGTTACAAAGTTCTACAATACTTCTAATTAGGTAAAGCAGCCAGAAACTTCAAACTGTTTCTGGAAACATTTTGCAGTTTGTGAATAACAACAAGATTTTCCATATGTTGCCTGGTTTTGCTTTTATGTTTGTTTTATTTCAGATGCATTAAGTGTGACAACATTTATAATGCAGCCTATGTATCGAGGATGGCTGCTTTATTATGCAGCTGATACTTTAAAAAAATAAAATAAAAAATCCTTGAATTAGAGAGTCATTTCAGAAAAATATAAGAACTTTTCTCTAGTTTTGCATCACAGAAACAGTAATTTTAAAACACTGAATTAATTGAATTATTGTACTAGCATTTCAACAGTACTTGACTAGCCAGGTAAGAAATAGTCATTTTCACATACTCACTAACTCATCTTTTATTAGACAGAATACATAGCAGGAAGGACTCTTTTATAAATGATGCATATCCTGATCAAATTCTCTTGTAGCATTAGTGTAAATCAGGAGTAACTGCACTGCAGTCAATGGAGTTTCACCAATGACTAGTGGTGAAAAGTTAACAGAGAAGCAAGGGTAAAGGCTCCTAGAACTGTTCCAATTTTAAAAGACTAGCAGGGTGCTTTTAATCACTGTATTTGCTAGTTCTAAAGTAAAAGAACTCACTTTAAAAGCATATTTCTAATAATTTATTAGCATTTTGGAGCACATTTGCTTTTCACTTAAGTACAGCTCAATGTGGTTGATTCCATAAGAAAAACAGCTTCATACTGTCATACAATAGAAACACAAAACAAAAAAAATTCTGTAAAAAAAACTTCTGGAATTTGTTCTATACTTGTGCCTCTTCCGTAGATTTTTCTCTTGGTCTTTTCTTTTGAATATAAGGTTGTATAAATAAAAATATTATTCCCACCATGTATAGCAAGCCAGATATGTAAAAAGAAAAATCGTATTTATGTGTGATGTCATAGATCCAACCTGCAAAATAAGGACAAAACATGTTCATTACAAAACTTGACAACAAGGTACATTGCATGGCAAAACATGAAAAATACTGCACATTTCTCTTACAACATTTCAGTCAAATCCATAGATGTTTTGTGGAAAAAAAAGAGGTGGTGATTGTCTCCTCCTCTAGATGCTACAAATGGAAACGTATTGACAAAATCTCTTGTTCATTCATGAAAACACAAAACGAGTGCAAAACCTATCCCCTCATTTAATTATCATGGGAGTTTTAAAATGGGACTCTAGCTATATGCCATCCTAAGAAGCCAAGCAACCTTCTCTCTAAAACTGTACATTTTCCAAATAAGTTATCACAGGTCTGACTTGAAAATAAACATTTTGGAATCCCAAACCAATTGGTTCTTCCATTCTACTATTTTCTTAGAAAAATGCCTGATACTGCTGGCTGGTTCAAAGGCTGTGCCTTGTGCAAGCAAACACATTCCCAATAGCTTTCTCAAAGACTTTCATAGCAAAAAAAGACTTTTCAAGAGATACAATCTCTGTACTGCAATGACTGTCATTCCAGCCTAAATTCCTTTGTGAAACTACAAGAAAGTTACTTCAGAAAGGTTTGAGAACCCAAAATAGCAAAAATTTCCTCATGTCATGCTGGTTGCCTTGCGATGTAACCTAAAGATCAGAAGCTTTTTTTACATCAACTAATTGCATCCTATCTACTTCACTACTAATGACTAAACACAAAGACATGTTCAGCACAGACTGAAAGGTGCTGAAAGAATATATGGTAGAGTAAAACACTGCTGCTTTTCAAAGGGCATTAAATGAGCTTTCTTCTAAATTGTGTCAGCTCACTCAATGGTAGGGAGAGAAGGTGAGAGCATTCTCACTTTTCTGGGTTGCTGGTGCTGCTTATAGTTTCAGTTCAGCCTGTTGCCATCCCTGGCTGACCACGGCTGTTACTCACAAGGATTCTTACCGCTTTCTTCTAGTTTGTGTATCTGTAAAAGACAGCCATACTCCGGCTATAGTATCGACAATCAGTACCTATCTCTCTCCTGTACTTCCCCACCTCTTTCTATGAGAAAACTTACAATGAATGTCTGTTTAGATGTAAGTAAC